TCAATCTTGCTCAGATTGACTTGAGATTTGTGCCACAAAAAGCCATCAAAGGTTCTGCGGTTTCTGACTTCTTAGCAGACTTTCCGCTAGAAGAAGCTGAAAAAGAAGAAGATGAGTACGATTTCCCTGACGAAGATTTACTCATGACTGAAGATGATAGCTGGACACTCTATTTCGATGGAGCTTCAAACCAAAAAAGGATGTGGTGTGGGAGTCTTGCTTGTATCACCCAATGAAGAGCACATCCCAATTTCCATGAAGCTCGACTTTGATGTCACCAACAATGCCGCAGAATAAGAAGCATGCATTTTGGGGTTAGAAACAGTTTTCGCCTTGGGAATTAAGAAACTCAGAGTCTATGGTGATTCTTCACTAATCATTAACCAAATCTCCAAGAGATGGAAAGTGAGAAATGAAAGTCTCGCTACGTATCAAGCTCATTTAGAAACTCTCACGGAGCAACTAGATGAAGTGGAATACACGTATTTGCTGAGAAAAGAAAACCAATTCGCCGACGCACTAGCTAAATTAGCATCAATGGTGTGAATTCCAACTGATACAATCAGAATGCCACTGACCATAGAAAGAAGATATGAGCCGGCTTATGTTCACGCACTGGACGATGAATAAGAACCACAAGAAGAAGATGAAGAGCCATGGTATACAGATATCCTTAATTATGTGACAAGAGGAGAATACCCTACTAATACTGATAAAAGGGCACGCCGTGCTTTCAGGCTCCTGGCCTCACAGTATGTGCTCATCAGGGGAGAACTCCACAAGAGAACTGCAATGGGAAGAAATCTCTTATGCATAGCCAAGAGAGAAGCACATAAAACCATGGAAAACCTTCATGCCGATATATAAGGAACACACATGAATGCAAAAATGTTAGTCCAAAAGATTCAACGACAAGGTTACTATTAGACTACTATGGAGAGAGATTGTCACAAATACGTCAAGAAATGTATGAAGTATCAAGTCTATGCAAATTTACAGTATGTTCCACCTTCACTTCTCTACACATATACTTCTCCATGGCCTTTCTCCACTTGGGGCATCGACATCATTGGAAAAATAACACCACCAGGACAAGGAGGGCATGAATTCATTCTCGTAGCAATTGACTATTTCACCAAATGGGTCGAAGCTGCCTCATATGCTAAGCTGACGGCGAAACATGTAGCTCAATTCATTGAGAAAACTATCATATGTCGCTATGGGGTACCACATTAGATGATCAGCGATAATGGAACACATTTCCAAGGCGAATGCGCGGAATTATTACAGATATCATATCAAGCATCACAAATCATCACCTTACAGACCACAAACAAATGGTGCAGTCGAATTGGCCAACAAAAATGTGAAAACTGTCATCGAAAAGATGACAGAAAATTACAAGGATTGGCCAAGTAAGCTACATTTTTCCCTTTGGGGTTATCGAACCTCTGTTCGTACATCAACGGGGGCTACACATTTCTCTTTGGTCTATGGAATTGAAGTTGTACAACCAATCGAACTCGAAATCCCTTCTCTTCGAATCGCATTGGAAAGCCAACTAGATGAAGTCGACTGGATTAGAGCAAGATACGACGAACTGGTCTTACTTGATGAAAAACGCTTGGCAGCTTTGCATCATGTCCAAACCTACCAACGGCGTATGGCGCGACATTTTAATAAAAAAGTCAAGACCAGAAACATCAAAGAGGGTGACCTAGTGCTTAAGGCACATCGTTAAAATGTGTTAGATCCAAGAGGAAAATTCAGACCGAATTGGTCAGGCCCGTACATTGTTAAAGCCCTCCTGTCTGGCGGAGCGGCACAATTAGTAGACATGGACGGTAACGGCTTCCACAATTTAACCAACGTGGATCAACTCAAGAAATTCTATGCCTAGTCGCATGGGTTCATGACCCAATAGAGCTACGTTTGGCCTGATTCCTTTTTAGGATACGTAGGCAACCCCTCAAGGGGGCCTGGCCACTTTGAAAATAAAAATCCTCCCACTGTTGATCAAATATGCGCGTCAGTTCAGCATTGCGTCACAAAAAAAAAAAAGAAAAAAAAAAGGAATTGCCGCGACACGGGACATTCCACCGTGTCACGGTACTGTTCACCGTGGCACGGTGGCCCTGAGCATAAAAAAAAAAGGAAATTGCCGTGACGCGGGAATTTGTAACGTGTCACGAGATTTTTCACCGTGACACGGTGGAATTTCAGTTTTTCCGTTTTTTTGACGCATTCGTTGCGAATTCATTGTTTGTTCGAGTTTTTTTTTTCGTTCTTCCATTGCGTCCCACTCCTTGACTCGGATAAATATATAATAAATAAAAGTCATTGTAATTTTATTTTTAAGGCTGAAATAAATGTGCTATTATTATGCGACTACAAGTATTGGCATCATATGCCTTATTTTAAATAAAAATTATAAATCATAAAAATCAAAGCACTATTGATCTAATCTTTCTTCACTTAGGAACATCCTTCTCTTGGTCAATTAGGTCGCCCTTCACCATTAATGTGTCTTTCGTATCCCGAACCGTCACACCCCTAGTCGAACTTTAACCCCTTTCACCTTTCTTGAATTTTTTCGGTTGTTTCTCCCTATAGACCATCTTTTCTTTACCCTTCCCTTTCACATAAATCTTCTTTCTTGGCATTATAGGAGTCTTAAACTCAATCCCTTGTGTTCTCTGACCTAGACGATCTTTAGGAGGGACTTTCTTATTTCCAAGACGACTCTTCACATCAGACTTGCGTGATCCAAATCGTTCCCTCCTACTTCTAGGGTTCAACCATGCTTTGTATGCACTAGATAAAGGAGGAGGAGCTTGGTCACTTGCAGAAACGGTCCACAAAGGTCTTCCAACCCAATAAGTCTCGTACTTATGAACGTTACTTTCATGCAACGATACTTCACGAGGACTATCGTTATAGCGTGGAACTACTTGTTCAAGTCCATACTGCCGCATCAGTCGAGAAGGGCAATAAAAGGTCAGTTTTGAGATACTAGGAACACGACAATATGGAGTATCATTCGTGCCAACCATCCTAGTAAGCCTCCACCAAGGCACCACCCAACGAATGGAAAATTCCCTCTTTGCAAAGAAATTTTTCCAATCTTCATACGATATGTTCGCAGAGTAATTCTTTTTTTTGCGGACTAGGTCGTTAGGGCCATATTTTTTAACATCTTCGGGGGCTTCAAATAATTCTAAACGCTCCATTAACCAAATCTGAAAAAAAATAAAAGAGAAAAAATCAGTCGTAAAAAAAAAAAAAAAAAAAAAAAAAAAAAAAAAAAAAAACACGGCAGACATCCACTGTGACACCTCACGGGGGCTACTCGGAGCGTATTTTACCTGCAGTAGTACCAGAGAGCCCTTCCTGATGGCTTTCCGGTCAACTTTTGCTTCGTCAAGGCCACGAAATGTTTCTCCAAGGCACGTCGGCATAGGAGATCTTCCAGATTCGACATGTTCAAGCACAAATGCTAGACAAGCATGTCCTACCCTACCGTTTGCAAATAAAAGCTTGCTAAACAAGCAAATAATTTATGCCCTTCTACGATATACATGGTAAGACTGAGAGATAGGGAGATTAAAATATAAATTTGCAAGTTTTTCTAAGTCTACCTCATTACCACACACAATTCTATTTAAATCTGGATCTGTTAGATTCAGATGGCGTTCAAAATCTTGGTAATAAAATCTTGGCGTACCATGACACGGGAAGTCCCACCGTGTCACGGGAACTTTTGCCGCGACACCGCAAGTTCTGCCGTGACACGGTGCATAGTGCCGTGTCAAGGCACCTCACGCGCTTTCTTTTTTCATCCTTTCCCGTATCTATCCGGATTTTTTATAGTATTTTATCTTCCCCGTTTATTTTTCAGTTTTCTGAGAGTTTTATTTCTACTAAAATTCTCAACTTGTTTATCTCTATTATTATTATTTTTATTTTATTATTATTATCTTTATTTTATTTATTTATTTATTCATCACTTTAATATTTTATTTCTTTATCATTTTATTTATTTTTGCTTGTCTTTTTATTTCTTTTTCTTTTGGGGAAGGTAATTTTATTTATTTATTTATTCATCACTTTAATATTTTATTTCTTTATCATTTTATTTACTTTTGCTTGTGTTTTTATTTCTTTTTCTTTTAGGGAAGGTAATTTTATTTATTTATTTATTCATCACTTTAATATTTTATTTCTTTATCATTTTATTTACTTTTGCTTGTCTTTTTATTTCTTTTTCTTTTGGGGAATGTCTGTACCCTCCGTTACTCCACTTGTGTTTTTTTGTCGCGCCATTAAGAAATACACGATCATACACAATGAGTCTCAAGCACACACTAACCAAAATAATAAATACATAAAATAATGTACGAAAGAGTCATAATAAATAAACATGTCAAGTGTCATCATTGTATGTACAAATAAAAAACCCTCGGTAAAAATTCTCTAAAGCCAGAATCAATATCATCTCCACCCTGCGAATATGGAAATGGTGAGCCAAAGAGTCCCTCCATCATCCGAGTACGGGGAGTAGTGTCCCTACTAGTCCTTGTGACCCCAGCGGTAGTCAAACTCAAGGCAGGACCTGTCCAGCCGGAAAACGGTGTAGACTGGCTCAAAGACACAGGAATCGTCGGTGAAGGCACCGTCCCATACATCGGAACTGAGAACAAGCCCGACACCGGTGTAGGAATCCCGGACAATGGAGCGGAAAATGAACTAGGATCCAAGGGAGTCAAAACAGACACAAGCTCAGGCCGTGGAGCCTTTGAAAACGACTGACGCTGCCCCTGACTCTGGCCCGGAAAGCGCTGGGAAGACTGAGGCTGCTGCCACTGAGCCTCCTAAAACGGCTGAGTAGTCTGAGGCTCTCGCTGAGAATGAGAATATCGGTGAATCTCAGGAGATCGTCTACCACGACCAAGCTCCTCCTCGTCCGATCCTCTGTGCCTCAAGCGCGAGCGGGACCTCCGTTACTCCTGGAAGATACAAAATCAAAAGGTGTCAACAGTGCAAAATAAAACAAATGGTAGAAGTAAAAAAAATGAATGATACCTCAAGAACGTCGCTAGAGCTCCGACAACTCGCACCACGCCGAAGCTTGATGATGCAGTACTTCAGGGCGTCAACCAGCTTCACGAGTCCCATCATCTCCGGGCGGTTAGGCTGAGGACAAAACAAAGAAAAGTCAGTAACAAGCAGTGTTAAATAGATGAATAATGCATCAAAAAACTTACCGGCTCAAAGACCTCGGGCAGAGACTCATGCGTCTGTCTGTAACCCTCTGGCGTGTCAGCAATATGGTCCTCGGTGATACCAATCAGCCCTGGATAGCGGACAGACTGAGGAGGAATCTCGATCCTCCCCACAGGGCGAATAGTCGTCTGAAAATATGATCGAATAATCAAGTTATTCGACTATTTAAAACAGAGACTAGTAACGAAGATCCTCAAAAGAAATCATACCTCAGGAAGACGGGGTGGAGGAGCCAGAGAGAGAAGCAAGTCCCGCGCATAATCACTCTCCATGTGTATAAGCTCCTGCCATGGAAAAGTATAGCGCTCTCCCCTGTTTATCAACTCTCTGATCAAGCGTGAGTCCTGCATCGACTCTGGTGGAGATGAGGGCACCACAAAGCGATCGCTACTATGATGACGAACGACTCGCTCCCCTAAATACCAGACAAAGCGTCCAGTACCAACTAAAATGGTACGGTGCGCTGAAAGACGCAAGGCCTCAGGTAGATCAATCATCCCGGTCCAAGGACGATACTGGACATCAATGGCAACCTGGAAACCATAAAAATTTGGCGTGAAACAACGGAAACAACATCAGAAGGAAAATGACAAGCAAAAAAACTAATCCTTACGCCAACAGAAGAGGTGCCTCGGCGTAGTAGCCCACGCAGTGCAGGGACGGACTCCACCCGTGACTCTCCTCGATCACGCCAGCTGGCCCCGACAGGGAAATCATGGACCGCTCCACGACGCCGGCAAGGAGCCAAGCCTGGGAAGTACTCGTAGAACCATAGCTGCGATAAAAAGTAATCTTTAGCACATGAGTCGAACAAGTTAAAGTGAAACAAAAAGGGAAAAGATCATCACCTCTACGACTCTCCAAAGACCATAGACCGTGATGGGAGACTCGTCATTCAGCTGCCGACAGCCATGACGTAGCGATAAGAGAAGATCGGCGTATCCAAGGTTGGCCCAGCTATAGGATCATATCTCATGGATCCTGACCAAAGCGGGGAGGTAGCAAAGGAGTACGCGTGAACTCCTATCAGGAGAAAAGGTCATAGAGATCAGGATCAGGATGAAGATCCGCACTCGCTACTCAGCCGACGTATCCTCCATGTCAAAGCCACGAGCTAAAAACTGAAGCCAGCTTCGATCGTCCGCTCCTAGGACCACCTCGAGACACTGGTCGGGTCCTGATGTGATGAACGATTGGACCTAGCAAATCAGCTGCCTCAGCCGATCCCCAAGACAGATCAGACATCTGAGCTACAGCCCGGTCGGTGAAGCGCAGCCCGCTAATCATACTAAAGTCTAGAGGGGTCACCGTCATCTCCCCCCAAGCAAAATGAAAAGTGTTGGTAGTATCCTAGAAATACTCCAACAATGCGCGAACGACCGTCGCACCGCAACCCCGGGGGCTGCGAAACCCTACAACCGCCGTATAGAAATCTACTAAACCGGCCGATTCCCATAGGGCGTTCGTCGTAGGATCCCTCTTAATGATCTGGTGAAGTCGAGGGATCAAATCGCCGGCTCCAGAACCGTGGTGGTGAAGCGTGCCATCGACTATGCCGGAGAGTGGGCGATGAGAAACATGGTTTTCACGGCAGAAAACCAACTGGTCTGGAGTCCACGGAGGTGGAACCCACCTACCTCTACTCGTGGATGCCCGAGGCTCGGACTTTAAAGCATCGTCGTCCATACCCTCAGGAATAGTGGGAGTGTCCTCCCAAAAAGCCCGACGCCGACCGTGGGTAGAAAGATTATAGGCATGCTATTATAAAAATCTAAATGCTTAGCATCATTTCCTAAGATATTTAATTCAAGTTGCATTTTTATAAAAATAAAGATCTAAATACTTAGCATCATTTCCTAAGTTATTTAGTTATTTATCGAATTATACGCTAAATTTTTACCTCCAGGCTAAAAGTTGGCGAAATTATGGTATTTAGTTTCTCCATGACAAACTAATACTACAGTTCTCCTAGCTGCATTATACTATGTTCTCCATGACAATATAGTACATACGCAAAATATGTTTCGAAATCGCACAAAAACAATAAATCAACTCATCATGAAAAATTTCACAAGGTTTACCACCATTTTTTCACCATTTCAAGTGCAAAGAAGTAACATGAAGTAGTACCCAAAAATTGTGATTTTCTCAATTCTCCATCAAATCATGTAATTTTTGTCTCAAATATATCACAAACACATATACATACATATACAAGTAAAATCATGGCAAGAATTTCAACATAAAGCCTCAAAATCAAAAACCCCCAAATTAATTTTTAAGGGTTTTCATGAAATTACTTATTTGAAGCAAATTCGAGACAAAAATCAAAGGAAAATAACATGGATCCTTGTAGAGAGTCGAAAATGAGGAAAATAGCAAGAAATTAGAGCAAGATTGGTGAAAATTTGATCTCCAAAAGCTCGAAAAACCTCGAAGGTCTGCGCAGCAACCGTGCCACGGTTGAGCTGGGCCGCGGCTCGGTGGAAGGGTGACGTGTCACGGTGAGGTTGTTCCGTGTCATGGTGAGCTTGAGAGAAGAAGGAGCTCTGGTGACTCCGAGGGCCGCTTCAGGCAGTAAACAGCAACAACAACAGCAACATCAAGATGAACAGCAGCAACCTGCAGCAAAAGCAAAAAAATAAAAAATAAAAAAGAGAGAGGATGGATGCAGAACCGCCGCGACACGGTGGTGAAAGCCGGCCGACGGGAAGGCAAACCAAGCGCCGGTGAGCAGTTGACGAGGCACGGCAAACCAAGGAAATTTTTTTTTTTGAACTTTTTGAGTGAGAATCAGACGAGAAAGAGAATGGCCAAAATGAGAAAAAATGTTGATATTTATAATCAAGAAATCCCGTGCAACGAACCCCGTTCCCACATAACGGTCAAATTTTTGTGTAGTGCACAAACTTTGACCGGTCAAAGATGCTTTTTGAACATTTTTCAGCCATTTGATTCCCGCGACACGGGACCCCCTTGCCGTGTCACGGGAAGCAGCTCCGCGTGACGGGGGCCCCTTATCGTGTCACGGGAACGTTTTTTTGTGACATGGTGGTTTTGTTCAGTTGTTTGCGAATATTTTGACATTTTGACTAAGGTTGTGCGATTTTTTGCATAAATTGGACGGTTATTTTTCGCTGGAATTACACGGAAAATTGTAATTGATACTTAAAGGGGACTAAAATTACCAATTTACCCCTAGCAAGCATCAAAGTCCATTTTTCGGCATTTTAAGCACCTAATATGCTCGGATAATCGAATTAAATTGTGAATCATCTGCGGCCCACGTTCGGGGATAATCGAACCATCATACACTAACAAATTTCAGCAATCGTCGGCTTTCCTCAGGCTTGGAAAGCGTTATCGGTGGATTTTTCTTCAAGTATAGAGAACCGCCAAGTCGGCTTTCCTCAGGCTTGGAAAGCATTATCGGTGGATTTTTCTTCAAGTATAGAAAAAACCGCCAAGTCGGCTTTTCTCAGGCATGGAAAGCGTTATCGGTGGATTTTTCTTCAAGTATAGAAAACCGCCAAATTCCTTTGTCGGCTTTCCTCAAGTATGGAAGGCAATATCGGTGAAATTCTTCAAGCATGGAATGACACCAAATTCATACGTCGACTTTCCTCAAGCATGGAAAGTGTCATCCGGTAGGTTTCTTCGACCTTAGAAAACTGCCAAATTCTTCAGTCGGTTTCCTCAAGCATGGAAAGCGTTTCAACAAATGTCACTCGGTGGATTCCTTCAAGCTTAGGAAGCTGCCAAATCCGTTTTTCACCAATACACTGGATTTTTTTTCAAGTATAGAAAAAACTGCCAAATCGGCTTTTCTGCAGGTATCGCCGTATACAAAGTGATTTAGGATCGTAGAACGTCTTAAATCATTCTCCGTCCCTATCGGCTACTTTGACTATCGTTTTCGAAACTGACGTTTCTACAAACTCAGTCAAAGTGGGGGCTTCTGTAGACACCTAAAAATGTCTCCCCAAAACCAAACCCGACGATGAACAACCTTTCACCGCCACTATTGGTCGGGTTCAGTATTTAATCCCGAGAGTGCTTGAAAAATCGTATTTAAAATAAGTCAGAAAAAGCCCGAAATTATCAATCGGCACTTAAAATGCCGAATGAAATTAGGGTTAAAAATGTATTTAGACGGAAAAACAAGCTGGAATTTCCCGCGCCACGGCAGGTACCTACCGTGTCACAAGAATCCTTCCCGTCAGACGGTGGGATTTCCCATGACACGGGAAGTCTGCCGTGACGCGGGACATTCCGTGTCTTTTCCGCGTAAACCCTTAACGCGTTATCTATCCCGTTTTTTGAAAATTTCCCGTGTCACACCAAAAATGTACCATGACACGGGAGAGTGTACCGTCTGACGGTGGGTCTTCCCGTGTCACGGCACAGTTTGCCGTGTCACGGGATACTTTTTTAGGGTTTTTATCATTTTAGGGTTCCGTGTGCTCCCTCATCACATTTTCCCTATAAATACCCCCCTCATTTCTAGTGTACGGGGCACCGAGTAATTCTCAGATTTATTTTTCTCTTTTCTATGCTTTAACCTAAACACTAGCCTACCCTTTTCTACTTCAAAATTCCTTCTTCAAGTATTCAAAGGAGTCCATACTTTACTCGTGGTTCTATCCTTAAGCCAAGGCGTGAAAGGTAGAATTGTTTGAGGGTTTGGCCCCAAAATCAACTCTATTTAATTTAATTATCATTTTATTATTTCCTTGAAGTTACTAACTCGTTTATTATTTTGTAGTTGCAAACAAACAGAATCAAAGTAAGGATCATGTTCCTTTTATTTGTATTATTTTTCTAACGATTTTATGTTGTTGGAATTGTGATTAAATTGGTTCTAATATTAATGTTATTTTATTGATCACCATATTGCATGTTTAAAGGGAATATGTAATTGAAAATCACGCCTAATAAGATAATTTGGACAACCGTTTTAGGATCCTTTTTAATCTTGTTAATTAATTCAAGTGATCACAAATATTTTAGAATTATGTGTGCATTAATATTCAACCAATTTAGTAAAATAATAGTTTGGAGCAAATTGAATATTTTTTTTGTATGCCTTTGAGATCACAGGAATGTCTTTCAATATAAGAATCGAGTAGAGGCCAATACGGGCAAATGTGACTCCATGACTCACTTCGTACCATCATTCCCGATCCTCCTTTCGTGGTTCCGAACCATATGGAGTTAGTAATCTCATGGATTATGAATGGGGTGTAACCTTCACGGGTCAATCGTTGTTGCCTTTGTTGTCCCTTTATCGTGGTTGCCTTTTATGATCCGTGAACGGTTTACAAGTTCCTTAAAAAATTGTTGGCGGCTCCCTACTTTCCTTGTCCCTAATCGTATATGTCAATTCCCACTTCCTATGAGTGCCAAGCATATTCACTAGATGCTTTTAACGTAGGCGCACTTCGAACGACGCCTACAATACTAATTAAATTAGTTTCAAACAATTAAATCAAAACCCATAAATCAATAATTATAATTACACAAATTAATAAAACAAACGAGAAAGAAAATAAGACTAACCTTTTTGTGTGGGAAATTTTTGGGGATTCGTGGGGTATTTATAGGAGATAATTGTAGGGTAAATAGGAATATTGGGCCTCATAAAAATAATGGGTCAATTAAGTAAACAAATGGGTTTGGCTTGTTTGATTTGACATAAATTGTAGAATAAAGGTGCATAAAATAATATGTTCAAATAATTTTCGACCCAGATTAATAATTTGAAACTTTTGAAATTAAATTTCGGAAAATAACAAATAAATATTATAAATAAAATAAAATTTCATTTATAAAATATTTAAAATAAATACGGGGGATTACAAATAATAATAATAATAACAGTAACAATAACAATAACAATAATGTGGTGACGAAGGTGTGGTATTTGAATGGCGACACTATTATTGGTGACACTTTGGTGGTGGGGAGGGTTCTGGAGTTGATCATGGAGGAAGGGCCTCTTTTTAGGTTACATCTCAGTGTGGAAAAAACTGAAATTTTCTGGCCTTGAGAGGACTCTTGAAGCAGGCTTATGGGTGTCTTTCCGCCTACTACTGCTCGATCTTCACATGGTGTTAAGTTGCTTGGTGGTCCAGCTAGTTCTGATCCCGGTTCTAGAGGTGACCTTATGATGCAGAGGGTGACCAAGACCATTGCTCTAATGGATAGAGTTGCTAAGCTCGATGATCCCCAGTGTGAGTTGTTGTTGCTTAGGTAATGTACCGGAGTTTCTAAACTCTACTTTGCTTTGTGTACTTGTCCTCCTAGTACTTTAGGGCTTGGGTTTGGAGATTGGAAATGGCGACTCGCCACCTTACCATTTGTGTTTGACGGACCTGGTGTTTATTCCGCAGGTGATATTCGTCATTATGCCTTTCTTGTCTCTCGGTTACAGTCTGTTGGGTTGCAGAAAAGCTTTTACGGCATGCTGGCGTTGTTGGCCTTGGTCGATCCTTTGCGGAGGCATTGCTTCTTTATAATGGAGTAGTTAAGTCTAGCATTCTGAGTAATGCTAGTGAGGTCCCTGCCCCTAAACACATGAAGAAATTGGCAGATATATATTTCACAAAGGTTACCTCATCTGTAGAATCCACTTTCTCTTTGTCTCCTCGTCAATTAGCATTGTGGAGATCGCAGCAAGGAGTTCACACCTCTGCTTGGCTATGGGATGTCCCTATTTATGGGTTGGGTCAAACGATGAACGCGTAGACGTACCGATGTGTGTTGTGCTACCGGATGGGTGTTCCATTATTCTCTGTCTCGATGCCGTGCTCTGCTTGTTCTCGGGTTTTTACTGGGATATTTTTGACGAGCACGCGGTGTCATGTGATGGTATTGTGGGTATTAAATATCGGCATAATGTTGTTCGAGATACCCTTGTTGATATTTGCTACAAATCTGGGATTTCAGCAAGAAATGAGGTTAACATAGGATTGTTTGGTGGGAATGACGAGTTCTTTAGACCTGTGGATGTATTACTTTATTTATGGGATCATGTTTGTGATGTATGTGTCGACTTCACAGGATCTTCTCCTTTGACACAGACAGGGCTATTGGACTTTGTTCCTGGACGAGTTGTGGTTGATGCAGCTCATCAGAAGCGGGTTATGTACGAAGCTCGTTGTAAGGAAATTGGATATGGTTTCATTCCCTTCTCCTTTTCTTCTCTTGGGGAATTAGAGAAGGAGGTTGTTGCGTTGCTGAAGCGAGTTTAGAGGTTCTCGACGACGCAAGACCTTGGAGCTCATGTTGCAGCTCATATCTTCACTAGGGTTGGCTTTGCTATAGCTAGAGGAGTGGGAGCCCATATTGTATCTCGGCTTCCCACTGATTTATTGTAGGTTGTATGACTTTTGTTTTTGAGATAATAATAATAATAATAATAATAACAATAACAATAACAATAACAATAACAATAACAATAACAATAACAATAACAATAACAATAACAATAACAATAACAATAACAATAACAATAACAATAACAATAACAATAACAATAACAATAACAATAACAATAACAATAACAATAACAATAACAATAACAATAACAATAACAATAACAATAACAATAACAATAACAATAACAATAACAATAACAATAACAATAACAATAACAATAACAATAACAAGTCGAATTCTAGGTTACAAGCCGCGTGTCTGGTTATGGTTGAATTGGTAAAAAATAAAAAAAAAATCAAGTCACCAGCCTACAACCACCACCACCAGCAGTGGACACCCCCCTCCCTACCCCACCCTTCCCTACTGCACCAACGAAGCATCCCCCTTCGCTTACCCCTGAAAGTATGGAACAATCCATAATAAAGTCCCCCTACTCGAAACCACCGTTTACCAAAACCCTCGCCCTTGAAAATTTCCCCCAACCTCATCCCCACCACCGAAACCACTCGTATCTTAAACCCCAGCTCCTGAAACTACCTCCCCTCCCCCACGCCTCCAAAACCACTAAATAAGAATCCAAACCTTCCACTTTCTCTCTCTTTTATGTGCTAGAAAACGCAAATAAAATGAGGTGAGGGTAGGTTTCTAGTGTGGAGGGAAGGAAGGGAGGTCTTAATTAGGGTGGCCACTAGCGTTGGTGGCCGGTGATTCTTATTTTTTTATTTTATTATTTTTTTGTAAGTGGAAATATTAATTCTAATAATCGTAGCGGTTCGCAATTAATCCCAAATTTTAATTATTATCTAATAATCCCATCTTTATAGGAAATTTTCTTCTATTGGTTCTAACTTATTAGTAACCGGTTTTAAAAGGTTATATGCTACATATCACTTTGTTAGAAAATATTTTTTAATTTTTTTTTTATACAAAAAAAGAAAGAAAAATAACCAAATTACCTTATTCCTTAAAAAAAAAAACCCCACCCCAACCCCCACAACAACCCTCCAACAACCTTCCACTATAGTGGTAGGCGACACAGATCGCTCCTCCACGCCGGTCGACCCAGTCACCCGCACCAGCCAACCCACTCTCTACTCTCTTTCATATCCCATCACAACAGTATGATTCTCGTGAGAAAGAATCATCGGCTTATTATACCGAGCAAGTCCAGTCGATTCCTAAGCAAGATTCCTTAAGATTGTGGGCGGTTTTGAGGTATGCCCAAAGTGAGGAGGAGCTAATTTGTGGTGGAGGAAGGAACGAGAAAGGTCGGGCTATCAGGGGTTAGGATCTAGAGAGAGGTGGATGGTCAAGGCGGATAAGGGTGAACAGGGGCGTTGCTAGGTCGACCGACACAAGGGACTATTAGGGATGTTAGTGGGGCGGGTCAAGTAAGAGACCCGCCCCATCTTCCCTCACTGGGGCGGGGATGGGTCTTGGTTTGGTGGGTGGTGGGGCGGGGATGGGGATAAAAATCATACCTGCCATGGGTGATGGGGTGGGGGTGGATTTTACATTGTACCCGCCTCATCCCCGCCCCACTTTGTACCCGCCTTATCCCCACCTCACACCCACATCTATATATTTTACTAGGTTAGGTTCCGTGCAATAATGCACGGTTGTTAAAGTTCCAATATATATCATATTATTATAAAATAAACTCTCGATATATTGATTTAGTACAATTAAGCCAATCTATATTTACCTCATTAAAAATTTACATTAAATAAAAAATATAAAAAAAATCAAAACTAAAAAACAGACCAGGAGATGACACGTGTCATTGCCGGTGTGTCTTTTAGTATATAGTTATTGATAAAACAAAATTATATACTTTTATACTATTTTATATAAAAAAAAATATGTAAAAAAAATAGTAGATATAATAATTTGTAATACACTAATTTTATAACTAAAAAAAGTGTGAAATATTAATGATAATTTTATTTGTTGTAATTTATACGTAGTATTAAATATGTTGGATTGTGTATTGGGAGGTGGGGATTAGGCGGGTCTTAGGTGGGGATTAAGTGGGGATGAATATCCAAGTGGGGGGTGGGG